GGCTTGTTTTTAATAAAGACCCTGAGCTCTTTATTCCAATGGCCAACGGGTAAAAAAGTACAAAAAAAAAAAAAAAATGTACAAAAATAGCGACTATTTGCACCGGACTTGCTTTATAGCAGCCAAGTGGAGTATGAGCAGTTGGGTGTTGAAGCAACAAGGATCTTTTACTGGTTGTAAAAACCACGAGCGGGGGAAAAAAATAGCTGCGACACAAACATTTTCCCGAAGAAGAGTCCAAGAAATTCACTTTATATCCAATTTTCCCAGCCCGCTTTGGTCGCCCGTCCCCGCTGCTCTTCCACCCTGATCCCTGTTTTGGGGGGGGTGGGGTGGTCAGAGCTGCTGATCCAGGGGATTTAGTGCAAATCTAGTGTTTCTGCATCAATTCAAACAGCCCCCCAAGGGGCTGGGTGAGCCCGGGGGGGGGGAGGTTGGGGCAGGAATTTTCTCCCTTCCCCTGGAGATGCGGTGGGGAGGGATGCCTGTTCCTGCAGGGGCTGGGTTTGGAGGCCATAAAAGCTTTTTTTGTTGTTGTTTCAAGCAAAGTGCAAAGTGGATAAGGAGCAGGGGAGGGTTGGAAACACATTGCAACAAGTGCAGGAGCGATGGCCTTCCCCCCCCTGCACCCCCCCAGCAAGAAGGGGCCGGGGGATGCGCAGCATCTCTGAGAGCGGGAGCTGGAATTTTGCAAAAAAACCACCTTATCTCCAGATATTCGGGGTTACTTTCAGACAATTAGGAAGGCTCTCCTTGTCCTCCAAAGTGGGCAAACAGCTTTGCTGGCAACAGGGCTGCAGTTTTGGCACGTTCTCCTCACCCTGCCCTCCCTTCCCTGGAGTTTTAACTCATCCAACTCACCCCCAGCAACTTCGTGCCCGAGCTTTGCGAGATGGGGATCGATTGGCAAAAAGCAAAAAGGTCAATTTCCCAATAATCTTGTTAAAAGGGAGAGATCCAGGCAGTTCCTTAACATTTTTTTTTTTTAATCTGTTGGGTTTTCCCTGCTGCAGGAGGGAATTGGAGCGCTGAGATTTTTTTCATTCTCTTTCAGAAAGAACAGGCACCACAGGAACGTTTCTGGAGGTTTCACAGGGAAGAAACCTCCATGTATTTTTTTTGTTTGGGAAGATTAAATTTGTTCCAGCAGAGCTATGCTGCTTTACACGAGCTGAGGAAAAAAAAAAAAAAAAGCAGTTGATGTGTTTCCTCTCTTGGAAACCTCATTTCTTTCTACCCTTCCTCCCGTGGACTCAGCGACATCGAAAGTTTTAAGTGTGATTAGTCACAGAAAAAGGTAAAATTTTGCCCCTCTAGTGCGAATAGTTGTTGTCTCACTAAAATATCACTTGTAAAGACACCTTCTTCTTGCTGCCCTGGTGCTTTGGAGTCGGGAATCGGGGTGATTTCCCCTGGAAAAGGGGGAGTTTGCTGCTTGGAGAGCTGGGGGGGGGGGCATTGGATCCGGGGGGCCGTTGGTATTTGAAACAGCTTTGTATGGGAAGGTTCAAACAGCGTCAACACCCGGATATGCAAAACTCATCTGTCATTGCCCTATTGTCCCCGTTCCTGGTGCTTTCTGGGTTGGCATCCCGGCGGTGGAAGGGCAGAGGGACAGGTTTTTTGGGGTTGTTTTTTTGGGGGGGAGGGGGGAACTGGCATGGCTCCATCCCCATCCTCAATCACCTCCCTTCAATCCTGGTCCCCGGCCCCAGCCCCGTGGCCGTCGGGTACTTCAGGTTGTGGTCACTTGTGGCAGAAAGGGGTTTAATTCTCCCCAAAAACCACCTGTATTACCCTGGGTGGGGGCTGCGGTGCTGCCTGGTGGCACACAGAATTTTTTTGGGGGGGTGTGTGTGTCTGTTTTCCCTTTGGGACCATCAACAATTAGATATCAATGGCAAAAATGCAGGGTTTTTTGCCTTTTTTTTTTTTTTTAGCCTAATTTTTGGCTGACATGACAGCTAGTGACCAGGATCAGCAGTTTGGTTTTTTGCTCGCTTGATCTCAGCCAAAGGTAAAGGCTTTTTTTGGGGGGGGCAAGAGATTTAGGAGGGGCAGAGAGGGGCTGGACCATCCTATTCTGCCCTGAAAAGACCCCGCAGTGTTTTACAGCTACAAATCACCCCCCCTGTGCTGAATTACACACTTTTAAAATCTTGGGGATTTTTTTGGGGGTTTTTTTTGGCTTTTGGGGGTGTTTTCTTTACTGTTAGCAATGAGAGGCTTGTGCAGCAACAAGAAGATGCTGATTATTAGCATGAATGGAGCCCCCCCAAGCCCCACTAGCATTAGGAAGAGCGACGCGGGATTTAAAAAACTTTAAAAATTAAAAATGAAGAGAAAAAGATGTTTTCTGCTTAAAAAACCAAAAAAAAAAGAAAACAGGGAGGGGGTGTTTTACCACCAGGAGGGACTCCAGCCGTTCAAGTAGTAGAGGCAGGGCAGGTACTGCCAGCCCCCCCGCAGGGCCAGTATCGATGCCCCGGGGAGCTCGACGGCTTTCTGCCCCCCAAAATGAGTGTCCATTCTGCCGATTTCCGAGGCGACCTGTTTCCTCTTGGTTTTGTACCTCCTGTTCTGGAACCAGATTTTCACCTGGGTCTCGGTGAGCTGCAGGTTTTTGGCCAGGTGGGCTCGCTCGGGGGCCGACAGGTATTTCTGGTGGCTGAATTTCCGCTCCAGTTCGATGACTTGGGTGTGAGAAAAAGCTGCTCGGGAGCGTTTGGGCTGTTTGGGGGGACGCTGGGCCATGGGCAGGGGGGGGTCACACTCTGACAGGTAGGTCTCCGCCGTGGCATCTTGAGGGGAAAAGAGCTGAGAGTTAATTACCCGCTTTGAAATTGCCCGAATCACTTGATTTTTTTCCATTCCAGAGAGCAAAATAGTCATATTCCCATGGAAATATATTGATTTAATGAAACGCTTCATTTAACAATTTAATTTAATTTAATCTTAAAAAGATTAACCTTTAATCTTAATTTCATTTAATCTTAAATAAACCATTTTTTTTTCTTCCGAAATCCCACTTTCTTACTTCACATCAGCACAAACATACGTCCGAGGGACTAAAATAACACAGAAAAGGGTTTTGTGTGCGACGCTGGTGGAGATTTGCCTAAAACCTCCAGGTACTGCTGTTTTGTACGTTGTGGCATCAACAGCTCTTGGGATTTTTATTGCAGAATTCAGACTCTCAGGCGCCTCTTTGAGACATCCCCTCCGTTGTGTCTATGGGAAAGTCTTGGTCCCCAAAGAAAACCGATTTTTATCCTCAATCTACAGAGGATAACTCAGCAATGGGAAATCAGTGCAGCTTATTTCTCCCTTTTCTCTTTCACGACTCCCAAGACATTTTGGGGGCAGTTTTTTAAACTTTCAGGCATCTATAACTGCAGACCTGGCCTCAGATCACAACTCCAAAGCAGCATCTCAGTGTTTGCCTCCGACTTACACCCATCAGTGGCCAGAGCCACGACCCAGAAAGATGCTGAGCTCCCTGGGAAGTGTCAACTAGAGCTATTAAAACTTCTTAAGTCAATTTATTTACCCGCTCAGTTCCTTTTTTTTTTGTGTATTACCCGGCTCGGGATGGAAACAAGCCAATATTTTGGTTTTTTGGTTTTTTTTTTCCCTTTAGTCATTTCTTAGTGTCTTTTCTTACGATGTGAACATCATGTTTCAGAAAGACACGACGGGCTTAATTCCCAGCTTGTGGAAACCACGGCTGTCCCGCCAAAATCCCTGGAGCTGGGCTGATTTACACCACTCGCTTTCTGGGAGATTTGGGACCTCTTTTCATGATTTTCGTAATGGATGGAAACAAGCCAATATTTTGGTTTTTTGGTTTTTTTTTTCCCTTTAGTCATTTCTTAGTGTCTTTTCTTACGATGTGAACATCATGTTTCAGAAAGACACGACGGGCTTAATTCCCAGCTTGTGGAAACCACGGCTGTCCCGCCAAAATCCCTGGAGCTGGGCTGATTTACACCACTCGCTTTCTGGGAGATTTGGGACCTCTTTTCATGATTTTCGTAATAATCGACTTTTTTTTTTTTTTTTTTTTTTCCCTGAACTCGCTTTTATGCAGAAACTTCTTTTAATAGAACGGAAACGTAAAGCCAAAATTCCCCTGGCAGAGGGCTCTCCCAGCAAGCAAGAGCCGGTCGCTAGAGAGTTCAAAATTGCATTTTTGGCTGTTGCAGCTCGAGCCGGGACTGTTTGGGCAAGGAAAGGCTGTGTCCCCTCCCGCAGCCCCGGCCCGACACATGGGTCAAAGAAATTTGCTTCAAAGTGTGATTTTTCAGCATCATTCCTGCGGTAAAACCTTATTCCCTGCAGGGAACGGAGCGCCGTTAGGTGCGGGTGAGGGATGCTGTGGCAAGAGGAGGAGGGTGGTTATTAATAAGCCCCGTGATGTGCAGGGGCAGAGGCAGGAGCACACGGGGAATTTGGGGCTGAGCCTTGTGCCAACGGCACAAATTTAACCCGGGGGGACCTGGGGAAGATCCCTGAGGAGCTTGGCCGTGGTGGCATCACCGCGCTGGTGGCCACATGGATGGGGACAAACTGCCTCTCCATCTAGAAGCCCCAAGTTGCCCTTGCTGGGGACCTCCTGTGTTGAAAGGGAACTTTATTTCCCAAGATATGGCAGAAATGCGTTGACTGGGATGTTGTTTGGGGTTTTTTTCAATAGCATTTTAGGCAGATTCAGTCCTTTGAGTTATTTGAGGCGCCTGGCAAAAGGTTTGCAGCCGGTTGCGACCTCTCTCTTTTTCCCACTGCTGGAGCACAGATACTCCCTGGTAATTAAAACAGGAGTTAATTGGCTCCGGGATGCTCGAGGCAGCCGGGTCTGGCTCCTGCCCCTTGCTTGACCCAAGAGTAGACATTTCTCCATGCCCCCACCAGCGGGCTCAGCCAGGAGCTTCCACCCCCTTACCTGCATCCGCCTCCTGGGGTGTCCCTCGGGCTTGGGATGCTCCTGGGGGACGAGGGCTCTTGGGGGGGTTCCCTGGGGCAGTCAAGCTGCCCTCCACCCCCGGCTCCCCATCCTCTGGGCTGCCAAACCCTCCGTTCTTCTTCTTCTCTCCCCGCTCTGCCCCATCCCAGAGAATATCTTGGATGAGGAAGGATGTCCGGGGTCTGGAGGAGATGGGCATGGGCTGTTGGGTGGCCGTGGGGCTCTGGTTGGTCCCCTCTGGGGTGTTGCTGGGCGCTCTCTGCCTCCTGGCGGGGAGCACCCCAGCGCTCATCCTCCTCCTCTTCCTCTCCCTGCCCGGAGGCACGCTGGCTTCCCCAACCCTCCCGGCTCTGCATTTATAGGGCAGGCAGCCAAGCCTCCCGGGGGCCTGATTGGAGATCCCCAGCAGGAGTTGACGCCCTTGGGTCGTGTCTTGGCTCCCCCGTGGGTTTTCTGGCTGCTCCTTCCTCCCTCTCTCTCCTGACGTCCTTCCCCACGGATCCACGGGGGGGTCACGGCCAAACCTCAGCCTCCCCCTTTGCCCTCCTCTTGCTGGCAAACAGCTTTTACGGTGAAGAGAAGGATGCCTAAGTGAGTTCAGCCTTTTTTTGGGGATCAAAGTGCTCCCAGGGTGGGGTTTTTTTGGCCAGAAGAGGGGGGAGCAGCATCCCTGCTCCATCCTTGGAGGGATGCTCTGCAGAAGGGGTCCCAGAAGGAGGGACCCCTTCTGCATCCCCTGCCCCAACCCCAGCCCCCAGCAACCCAGGGGCTCTGCTTGCCCCTGGTAGTAGAAATTATATATATCCCTCGAGCTCTTTGAGGAAATGCTGTTTCCAGGAGAAAAAAGTGAAGAAAATAAAAGCATTGTGGTTTGTTTGGGGTTTGGATTGTTTTTTGGTGGTTTTTTTTTTGTTTTTTTTTTTCTGTATTTGGAGGGCTTTGAGGGTTTTCTTCAAAACCTTCCCCAGTTTGTCAAAAAATAGGGGAAAAGGTCAAAGGCAGCTTTGCAAAGCTGCTCTAACAAGGGCTCTAAAAGCAAAGTTAAGGTGTAAGGGACAGGGAGAGTGGGTCCAGAGGCAAATGCTTGCACAGAAAGGGGCAGAGGGTCCACATGAAAACTTAAGCCTAAACCTCAGACTAATTCCTTGACCAGAAAGGGACAGCATTTATTTAAGAAGCCTTAGCACCTTCCTACACCATCCTGTGAGGCTCTGTTTTCAAAGGCACCCGAAAGGAGCAAAAAACCTTCCTGATTCCAAGAAAAACCACGAGTTGAGCTCTCTGTTATGACAGATTTTATTCTTTTTTTTTCCTGAATATCTACTCTAACTCCCCGCTCGCCACACAAACAGCTGCAAAACCCCCTGGGTGTGGGCAGCATGTGATTAAAAAAATCACCTTACCCCATCCTAAGGCAAAGAAATCTGGTGGGGGAACCAGGATTCTGCTCCATGGAGGCAGATGAGCAGCATCCCTGGGAACTGCAGGCACCTTCTGAGCAATGTATATATAAATATATATATAAATATATATAAATATATATATTTATATGACCTCCCGTAGCCCTGTTGCCCGCCAGCTCCTTTTTCTGTTGGAATAAGGCAGCTCTAATCAGCTCTTCTGTTCCTAAATCCTTCACTCAAACCCAGCCCCTCTTCCTCAGCCTGGGCATGTGGTGGGGTTTGTTATTTTTTTAACTTTAAAAAAGGGAAACAATAGATTTCCTTGAAATCCCCTGAGCACTTTGTTGATTTTATAGGAGGGTGTTTGGTTACGGCTTTGCAGGTTGTACAGACGTGCCCCAAACCCTGTTTTTAACCCCCCTTTTTCTCTCTGGGGAGGACCCTGTGGAGCCCCCCCCCACCCCCGGCTGCTCCTGAGCCAGGAGAGAGACCCGAGATTCAGCTGATTTTTGGGAGATGATAACCCCGAGTGAGTGGGGATGGATGAAGGGGGGGAGAAGGGGCAGCACCCACTCATTTCCAGTGTCAGGGTGGGGGCTGTGACACCGGGAAGCGGCAGGAGAGGGTTTTTCTGGTCTGATTTGGGTGTCAGGGATGTCCCATTTGGGAAACGAGCGACCACCGGAGTGATGGGGCTGAGTGGGATTAGAGATAAAAGCTTAATTGCCTCCTGTGAGTCTCTTTTCACCAAACACTGGGAGGATAAGAAGCTGTTGGGAAAGGAGCAGGGACTGGGAGGGGGGGGAACAGCCTGGAGTGGGGACTGAGATTATTTTGGAGAGGTGGGAGGTGTGTGCAGGATGCTGTCGGGCTCCATCCCCAGGATACCTTGGCATCACAGGGGAAAAATCTCTGCTAAACCAACATTTTGCACCAGGCATTGACTTTTGGGTGGTTTTTCCCCCCCCCTCCTCCATACCAGTAAAGCCTGTGCTGGGATGGGGGGGGGCCCATGAGTGGGTCCATCCAACGAGGTCTCACTGGGTGTATTCTGGAAGTGTGAGGCTGTGGATTCGTGCTGTTTTTCGGGATGTGGCTGTGTCCTTTGGGACACTGTGATGGCATTCAGCCCTCCTGCATTTCATAAATATATATATAAATATATATATATATATAAATAAAAAATATATATATCTAAATATACATACAGCCCTTTGATCCAGTGAGGCTCTGGATGCCCATGGATCCTGATTTGGGGACCCTGCACCAGTTCAGCACTGGAGATGCTGGTGTAATTCAGATGGTCCCATCACCACGGAGCTGCCCCTCGCAGCTGCCCCCCCGCCACGGACCAGTAACCCCATTTTACCAGTAAGGGAGTAGCAACAGAGAGCTGGAAACACTGGCCGAGAACGATGGAGGGGGCTAAACCTTGGGAGCTCCCCAAGCTTGGGCTGCAAGGCAATTATCTTTCTGGGTTAATTATTAAAATTGAGATCAATTTGTTTTGTTTTGGTGGTTTTTTTTTGCTTGGGGTCAGATTTTGATGCTCAAATGCAAGTTGTGGGTAGGAAAAGTCAAAAAGCTAAGTGAGAAGTGGTGAGAGAGTGAAAGCACACAATTTCACCAACTTGGTTTTTATTTGCAAATAATAATAATAATAATAGTAGTAATAAAGAGAGAAATTTAACACCCGTGCTGGAAGATATTAAGAAATATAAATCGGAAATGTATCTCAAAAGATCAGAGGAGCTCAAGGCATTAAATAGAGTTCATAAAAAAAGGTGAATGCCCAGTGCTGTGCACAGACCCTGTTTTCCAGTTATCCGTAGGGAGAGAACCAGTGTCCACACCCCCCTGATGGCCGAGCACTGGTCTCCTGGAAGACCAAACCTTCTGGGAGCGGGAAGGGCCAGACTCCAGAAGGTTTATGTTGCAATAAATAAATGCCCTCATCCCTGGTGTCCCTGGTGTGACGGTGCTGGGGTGGCAGCGTCCCCCTCGCTCCTCACCTGCATTTCCAGAGCTGTGACCCACAGGAGCTGCCTGGAGGGGATGGATGCTCCAAGGTCTGTCCCAGGTGGCAAAAAATCTCCAGATTCAGGTCCCGTTGGAGGAAGGGTGGGCTCTGGAGTGGAGAGGGGGGCTTTTCCTCGCTCCTCACCTGCATTTCCAGAGCTGTGACCCACAGGAGCTGCCTGGAGGGGATGGATGCTCCAAGGTCTGTCCCAGGTGGCAAAAAATCTCCAGATTCAGGTCCTTTCGGAGGAAGGGTGGGCTCTGGAGTGGAGGGGGGGGCTTTTCCTCGCTGCTTTTCAGGTGGTCCTCACCTCTGTGGCCGTCTACCAAGCCCTGATCCCTGCCCAAGACGGCTGGTGCTGAGCCATGCCCAAGCTGATGTCCAGGGCAGGGCTGGGGGGCACCCCGCTGTACCCCCCCCCATAGCTACCACCATAGGGGCTGCTGCTATAGGTGCTGTAGTAGGAGCTATAGGAATAAGGGCTGGAGGTGATGCTGTATGGGGCTGGGTAAGGCTGGGACCCCCCAAGACAGGGTTTGCCATCCCTGACCAAGACGGGCACTGCCACCCTGCGGGGGGGCAGCGGGGGGGCTGCCAGCTCCAGGGATTTATCCTGCCTTTGCCTCTTGCATTTGTACCTTCGGTTTTGGAACCAGATTTTCACCTGGGTGGAGGTGAGCTGGAGCAGCCTGGCGAGGTGCTCCCTTTCGGGGGCCGAGAGGTATCTCTGCTGCTTGAACCGTCGCTCCAGTTCAAACACCTGAGCTTGGGAGAATAAAACGCGGGGTTTTCTCCGCTGGCGCTGCTTGGGGTGGGGGTAGGGCTCAGCTTTCTTCCCTTCTGCTTGGAAAGGGTGGGCGAGCAAACATTTTCCTGCAGAGAGAAAAAAAAACAAACCCAAAGTGAAGTGAGACCCAGATCCCACTCCGTCCCCAGGGAGGGCATGGGAAGAAGGACCTGGGGGTGTTGGTGGCCTGTGGGCTGAACAGGAGCCAGCAGTGTGCCCAGGTGGCCAAGAAGGCCACCAGCATCCTGGCCTGGATCAGGAACAGCGTGGGGAGTAGGGCCCGAGAGGTGATGGTCCCCCTGTACTGGGCACTGGTGAGGCCCCACCTCGAGTACTGTGTCCAGTTTTGGGCCCCCCACCACAAGAGGGACATTGAGGTGCTGGAGCGGGTCCAGAGAAGGGCAACGAAGCTGGTGAGGGGTCTGGAGCACAAGTCTTACAAGGAGAGGCTGAGGGAGCTGGGGGTGTTCAGTCTGGGGAAGAGGAGGCTGAGGGGAGACCTTATTGCTCTGTACAAGTACCTGAAAGG